TAGAAAGAGAATACATCAAAGGACTTAGAACACGACCTTGTGGGGTTCCTGTATTTATAACATTTATTTTGGAGGTGCTGTTTCACAGCCTAACTGGGACCTGCTAGTTTTCAATTCTGTGACCCAGTTACAGAGTACACCCAGAGTAGACAGCTTTACTAACACAGTGTTAAAGGCTGCTGYAATCAATAAATAGCAGACAGAGCAGTCTTTGGTCTCTGAGAAGTGCAGACTTGTGTTGGCTGTCTTCCTGTGACTTGTCTGGTTTACAGACAAACTGTGTGTTTTGAATGAATTTCAGAAATGTTTGTCCCATATTAATTGATTTATAAGAAAGAACGCCTTATTACTGCTGCTAGACATTTTATCTTGTATAAATTGAGTTGATCAACTGGTGTTTGACAGTTTTAAAATATACAGCATTAACAATAAAATGATTCTGAACAGATYCTGGATTATAAACAAAAAACCTGTTTTATTACTCACTGTTCAATAGATTGTCAGTAATTAAATATACTGTACACTATATGTAAGTGTAAACATTTGACTTTGACACGAAGCCAATCAGTAGACCTTGGTGAAAACCTATGAAAACGCAGTTTCCAAACAATATTATGTGAGCCTCTCTGTACCCATATATTTGTTGATTGATCAATGAATGAATGAATGTTGCATGTTAGCTGTCCAGGAAAAATATAATAATGTGTAAACCACAACACTCTGGCTTCCCATGATCTGCAACAAGCCCCAGTTAGGCAACTTTGTGTTTGACTTTTTTCTGTTTTGTTTCGGCAGGGAGCACTTAAGTGTATGATAATTTTAAAACCTTTTATTTGGCCAACACCTCTGCAGATAAATACCAAAACTCAGCTGCAGATCCATGCATTGAACCTCAGCATCCTCAGCTTGTTAATCCCTTTTAACACCTTCTTCACAAAACCAGCCCTGGTGCTAAAGATGCTGAGTAAGCAGGTCTGCTAAGGACACTTAACCATTGAAACCAACAGAAACTACACCAACACTGTGGGGGACAATTCATGGAACTGAGAGGGGAAGTGCTTTGGAAATGAGTTTTTTCCACTTGGCTTACGGGTCTTTGTGGAGTCCGTGAGAGTAAATGGAAGGAGTGGTGCCGTGATCAGCTGGCTTGATAAAGCCACTGCTGAAAGTGCTCCAGCTGATAAGAGTTTCACAACAAACACAATGTTCTTCCATGTTCTTCTAAAGCAGGACTTGCTTTGAATTGCGCGCCATGAGGGACGGGCGCTATGGGCGAAATTCAACTTCAAATCCGTGCCAGGACCCTCTAGATTTCCCACCTCCGTTTCTTTCTCTTGTTTTCTTTTTTATCTCATAAATGTTTTTCTCAAATAACTTCTATGMTTCTTTTTTTTCTCTCCAAAACCTCAAGCCACTTTTTTATTTTTAGATTCTTTCTGGCACTTGAAGCGCATTAGAAGTCTAGAAAAAGGCTACAACATCAACTGTCCCACTAAACCTGTGGACTCCCTCTAAATATACTCATCCATCCTGCACTTTTGTAATCATTCGGAGACCAAGGTGGGTCAGAGAAGGAACTCTGCTGGAAATGTTTTTTTTTTTCAACACAGACAGGCTTGGCCTCTTTGAAGACTGATGTGCTTTATCTCTGTCAAACGGTCCCATAAAACCTTGACTTTATAATGGTCAGAAAAAGCAAGAAAAAAATATTATTAACCTTGACAATGGAAAGTGGTAACCTTTTGGCAAGTAGCAACAGTTTCTATCTATCCCCACAATTATCCCATAAACTGTTCAATGAATGGAGAGAGAACACCATCGCACCGAGAGGTCTATAAATTTAGAGGAAAAAAGTAGAACAGCAGCAATGTGCTTTCTAAATCAAAAAGACCCACTGCTGTGACGGGTACAGCTCGTGCAAAATGAACCCCCAAAACACACAGCACCCAGATTTTGATTGCATGTTTTTCTGTACTTTGTTAATCTGTGTTACAAATGAAACGAATAAAGAACTACTACTACTACTACTCAKCAGTCACATTTCATCCAATTCTCAGAGGGTGATTTATTTCCCCTCCCAATCCCTCTCTAACCACCATGTTTGGTAACCACCATGTTGCTTCACCAGAGTCTGAACCAGACTCACGGAAATAAACAAACTGTGCTGACCTGAAAGAATGCTGCCACTCTGTGACAACAAATCACTGATAGAGAGGAGGACACGCCAAATCAGACAGAGAAATATAGGCCGGCAGTGAGGAGACAGGGACAGCAGAGTTTAGTTCAAAACTGCTCTCCTCCTATCTGAGCCGTACCCCCCACCCCCCTTTCGCAAACGGCGAGGAGGTGGCTGCAGGAGAAGGGGAGGTAGTTAAAAGTCTATTCTCCCTCACCACTCTACCGCCTGCTGAAAAAGAGCAGAAAAACAGCTTTGGGCCGCACACGCCCCACTCCTCAAACTTTGTCCCAGGGGCTTGAATATAAACACACTCGTCCACTCTGATTGGACGTGAAGTTGTAGCCTATACTCTATTATCTCACACACATGTTCACAATCAAGTTTAAAACACAAACCAAAAAAAAAAAAACTTTTTTTTAACCAACTCTAAAATTAGCCACATTTTAGAGGATGTAAAAACAGACATTGGAAGCTGAAATTAAAAGACATCTCTTTGTCTGGAAGTGTAGGCAGCAAGTCTGGCACAGCAGAACGTGGGGTTTTCAGAGAGGGGGAATTCAAGAGACTTCACCACAAAGCTGGCCGACTGCTTCTACAGTATATATGAATGTAACATGCAATCTGGCAGGAAACAGGAAGCTTTTTGCTGACAAAATTTGGGCATTTTCTGCTAGCTTTTTGATTTTTGGGTGTGAGAAACTGGGAAACATTAGTGGCTTTTTTTTCCAGAATGACAATATCTCCCATCAATAAGACAAGARAGTCATATGATTAGTGTGAGGAAATTTAAAACTGCATGCATCCAAAGGTATACTTGATTTAGATTGATGGAACAGCTCTGTCATTCAAAACATCAACAAAAATCATTTAATTTGAAGAGTTTAATTCCAAATCATTGTAGAATCAATGCAACACAATGACTCAGCTTACCTATTAAAATGAGGAAAAATACATTTTAAATTCATTAAGCATTTTTTTGTTGTTGTTGCTCACCAAGATTTCTTACCTTTTGACACATTTTAAGCTCAACAATCGTTTTGGCAAACTAAGAGGGCAGCTTACAGAAAACTCAGGCTTAACCTAGAACAAGAGTCACTGCAATCTGAATAAATCCATATTTTTATACCATTGAACCAACATGACTACAAGGAGCAGGGGTCCCAAAGGTGCAGGACTTGGGCTCAGCTGTTCAGGAAAACAAGGAGAGTCGTTATGAGGTGAAGAAGAGAGTCCAGGTATAGGATGGAGAAATGTTGCAGGAGTGATTTGTGACAAAAGGGTGGCAGCAAAGGTCAAAGGAAAGATTTACAAGAGAGCAGTGAGACCAGCCGTTTGTATGGTTTGAAGACAGAACTGAACGTTCTTTTTAGGAGTGACATGGATGGATAAGATTGAGAATGAGCTCATCAGGGGTACAGCACAGCTTGAACCACTGGGAGATAAAGTTAGAGAGACCAGGCTGAGATGGTTTGGGCATGTCCAGAGGAGGGACAGTGGGTTATATTGGTAGAGGGATGTAAGAGATGCAGCTGCCAGGAAAAAGACAAAGATGAGATACATAAATTCGGTTAGAGAGGACGTAGATGTAATTGGAGTGAGGACGGAGTGCGATGGGGAGGAAAACTTGCAGTAGTGACTGACTGACAGGCTTCTGTTACACTTGATGACATTCTGAGCAGGTAATTCTTTGAATCAGGTGTGTCAAAACAAAGACAACAGCTAAAACATGCAGGACAGTGGGTCAAAAAAAGGACTCAATATTACAAAATGTTCAGATGAAACAACTGGATTTACTTCAAATAAGTATATATTTTTTGTATTGGACATTTTTTACATTATTGTAGCATTTCTGTGGGAGCTATTTAGCATTAGCCTGACAAAACACATTTCGGTTGACGGATATTGCTGTTTTTGAAAGGGATTTTGCAGAAAGATTAGAAACAAATAATCTTTGTTTTAGTTCGATCTTTGGATGACACCCAGTTTGGAGAAATACAGATTAGTTCTGATCAGATTAACAGATTAATAGTTTGTCACAACGGGTCAGTTCCAAACTGCCATTTAGAAAATAAAAAATCTTTCATCTTCAACATTTCATAGCAGTGCATGCTAATGCAATTTTATAAACCTTTACATTACCATACCGTTTTGCCTTATTTGGTTGTTTGCATGTCATTTTAAGTTTATATGCAGCAAAACAAAACATCAGCTTCTGACGTAATTTCATATTTTGGTCAGAATAAACTGCAAACCAGTAAGCAGGGTACAGGGTCATAAAATAGTACTTGTGTTAACTACTGACATTTTAAGATTAAAGTTGTTGTAAAGCAGCTCAAAACCACTTTGAAAAAGGCCCCATACTGACTAGCCATTAGCTCATGTGGTAAAAACTAATATAACTAAATACGCAGTATCTAAATATCTCCAAACTGAGGTCGTTCAAAGGGCTATCTTACACATAATTTATTTATAAACTTTCCACAGATACCAATTTTAAAAAAATCTACCCTTTGAAAAAAATAATGATTGTAAATAACAAAGCTAATTAATGTATTTAAAAGTTAAATAAAAAAGAAGGGCCGTTATTTCTCAATTGTGGTTATTTTTAGTGCACCCATTTTGGTATTTTTCATAATTAAGCTAAATAATTTATACATCCGTTTTCTTTCTGCACTTTACCTGTGTAGAGTCGCAGGAAAGACTCTTTAGATTTGACCTTAAATTAAATTGGTGCTGCATTTAAAATAGTTCTGCCTCCTCGAAAAAATTTTTTTCCCTCAGTGCTGCTTGTAACGGTGAGTTCAGTTAAAAGAAGACTTTGTAACTCAACATATTTGTTTATTTGAAGGGCATAAAGGAATTTTAAAGATGTAATATATTTATAATTTATTTACCTTCCAGCCACATTCATTAAACATCACTCACATAGTCAATAATGAATATTTTACTTTTCAGTAAAAGCTCCATTCCAGCTGTAATATGGTGCAGAAATTATGGTAAACGTAAAATAGCCTCACACATAAAATCCAATAAAGTTGTAAAAAGACAGAATTAGGCTGTATCTATAACAGTCCATAGTATCATTGTCTATTAGAACAATGTGGGAAGTCTACAGTAATGTACAGCTACCCAACATAAGCACATATAGGCTGCAGTAACACCCTCAAGTGTCCATGTTGGTAACTACAACCCATGTTCTGGAGCTGCCTCCTACTCTCACAGTTTGGGTGAGCCATGTGACTTTAAAGAAGTGCCACGGATGTGTGGGTTACAGTTCTGACAAGAATCTAAAGGCAGTCCATGAAATACTCAGGAGTCTTTAGCTGGTCTATTCTTCGTTTTTGTTCTTCAAAGACTCTAGAAAGTCCTTGATCATCTCACTGGAAGGACCCTGCTTTTTGATTTTGTGACTTTTGTTCCTTGTGACATGTGAAGGCAAAAGTAGGGAGGCGAGCCCCCACAGTTTAATAATGTTGTCTTCAGATGCACCCCTGGGTGTGTTGGTTTTGTCCTGCTGGAGCAGCCAGGAGCTCTCCCGACACAGAGCCACAAAGCGGTCCAACTGGGTGGAGTTGACGTTCTTGCTGACGTTCAGGGAGGTTTCGAAAGGGTTCTGGATGTGCAGTGGTGTCATCTCTGGTTTGTTCTGCTCTTTTCCCTGAGTGGAGAAGTACAGGGGTAATGTTGAAAACGACAGGGACAGGATAGTTTTTATTGATGGTAACAGCCTTAGCTTTATGTCGTGAAACTGGGCCACGAGGAGCTGACTGAAAAATCTCCTCTGCACCATCTACAGGCAAGCAGATGACATAGGCTCTTTCATAAACTGCTCAGTGAAATGGCCATTCAGACCAGTCTGTCTTCATGCTGCCTCTGGCCATTCATAAATCATAGCAGCCGGCTTGTCTTCTCAGGTGTCTACTGTTTTGGCTCTGTTACCACCTCGTTTTGTGGCACAGAGGTGCATCAGATGTGGGCTGGCTTCAACCCCCCCCCCCCCACCCCCCTGCACTGCCACGATCTATTCAGAAGCTACACTGAGGGAGCCAGAAGGCATCTAAAGCCTCATTTATAGTGGATGAGAAGCTCACATCTCGCTTATGTGGTTGCGTGATGAAAAATGCGTAGTTTGCTACTCTTTACCACCTGCTGTGACCTAATCTTGTGCATTACCCTGTCACAACTAGCTCTCCCAGCACTATACCTGAAGTGTAGTGTGGTCACAATTTTGGGGGCAAGTGTGCCTATGCTGAAAGTGTTTCAGACACTGGTACCCGACTGTTGTACCCAGAAACAGACAGCCAAAAGGCCAAAAACTCTTAGATRGAGAAACGCGGACGTTGTGCATGGAGGAGTCTGACAAAAAATGCGGAGCTTTAAAAGGGACAGATTTGTTGACAAAATAAATACGCATATGTGAGTTTTTTTCCCTCGAAGTGTAGATGCAAGCAGGAGGAAACCCTGTGCAGTGACGTTTACCGCAATGGGCTGGGGTTTTCCAGGAGCTTGGTGCGGTGTGTCTCAGTGGCTGTGAAAGGGGTGTGCAAAAACGAACGCCAAACAACCACATGACCCAATGTCGACTGTCCAGCTTCAGTTCGAGCATTCTGGGCCCTTGAGAGTGTGTGCAAATATCTGACATTAAAACAGTTCTAGTAAAAATGTTAAAGAAAGTTGAATAATAATAAAGATAGTTAAAGAACTCGGGAAAGGAGATTGGACAAGTTTTGCAAGGAGAGCTGGGAGGGAGTGCGAACTCTGCAGCGTAGGGACATGTTCCTGTACCGTGTGTTGTAAATGGTTACGGTCTGTTTGCAACAAATTTCCAAAATACTGCTCTAACTGCACTGTCTGTGATGATTCTGGTAGGGTGTGCTGAAGTGGAGAGACTTATCAAGATGTATCCCTTGCAAGGTTTTCTTTTGAGTATGAATAGTCTATAAGAAAAAGCCCATCTCAAATTATGAGATCTGATGAGCCCTAAGCCCCAGACTGATTTGTTTTGTGAAAAAGCCTATGGTCACTGCTCTGAAAAACTTTAAAAATGTGTAAAAACTAAAATGAGTTACTAAAGTGACTTTAACTGTGAGTGCTGTGAGTTTTAGCAGCAGAAATGTCTGTACAGTCCGTACTTCAGTCATGACTAGTTGTAATCAAATCAGTGATCAAATACTGGGTCAGGGAGAAGTCTAAAACCTTCCATGGTGCTGTGGATGAGCTGAAGAGTTGTAGCACAGTTAAACAGATTTATGGCTTCAGAACCTCCAGTGAAAGCTTATAGACCTCGGTCATGGCCACTGCCTACATGCAGGCTTCCTCAACTGTGTCCAGCTTCGTATTAGTCCCATATATTAGAAAGGAAGGTCCGTCTTTTCCACTGGGATCTATTTATTAAACTATTAAGGTGTCTGAATGTCTCTGCTGAGACACTAATGCATTAAAACCCCAACACCATTTATAAAAAAATGAAAAACTATAATCAAACAGAAAGCTATATTTTGAGAAAAACTAAATAAGAAAAAAAATCTAATTAGTGCTAAACTAATTATAACTGTTTATTATTTGCAGTCAAATATGTTTTGATGTGCAGATTCCATCTGTGCAGGCTTTTATAACTGAAATAAAATCAAACTAAAAACAAAAAGAAAAAAATCTGAAAAATGTTAAGTGCTAAATTTCTTTATGTGTTTTAGTTAATGTGGTTCTTCATTAAGTATCTAAATTATATTCATTGATATAAATTGACTATTGTATAGGTCATTAACAGAGAGAGACCACTGGTTTGAAAAATATGAGCGACTTCATTGGTTGTACATGGGATCAATCACATCAAATCTGGGATTAGGTCATATTTGCGTCTGCTTTGCTGCATCCGACACAGGAGGTCCTGAATCTGTGCAGAGAAACCTCAAGACTATCAAGGCATTTTTGTGGTGAAACGTGCAGTTTAGTTTTTTAGAGGTAATCTGGAATTTGTTATTGATAAATTGTTCTGTCATCGTTCATGTGTGCGCACAACAGATTTTCTGTCCAAATTCTTCAAGAAGGGAACTAAGGAAACAAATCTTTGGGAGTTACTGCAATGAAATATTTAAATGAAAGTATATCTATTTGGATATGCATTTAAAGTTTTATGAAAGCAGCTGTGATCAGTAAATAGTTTAGATAAATTATAGTTATTTAAAACAATACCTTTCTGATATTTATAGACATCCTGCTGAAAGGAAAAGTGGCGTAGAACTCAAAGAATTCACACAGCAGATGATCTGAAACAAAACAAAAGATGTGACGTTAAATGAAAACCTAATAACAATCATTTATAGGGTTTTACATCAACACAACATCTCTTTCATTTGTCATTAGATTTTCAACTTTATGCACATTTATTTTATGTATGAACACTGTGGAAATGTACTTACCCCGACAATTTTTTTAATGTCATTTCTTCTTTTTTTGTCACTTCAATGTGTCAGATCAGCAAACAAATTTTAACATCAAACAAAAATAACCAAAGTAAATAGATAATGCAGTTTTTAAAGAACTGGATTGAGTTAATAGGAGTGAAAATCCAACAAACCAACCTGAACATTTCAAAAAGATAAATTAATTGTATTTAATTGTCTGGAAATCTAAAATCAGTTTCAGTGCCACATCCAGACCTGAATAATGCCAAACCTGGAGTAAAAATCACTTAAATAGAGCCGCTATCCACAAACGGGAAAAACAGAATAATGGTGAACTTTCATGCTTCTGGAAAGGTTCACCACCATTGTGTTTTCTTGATGATCCCCATGACTTCTGGGACAATATATCCTATTGACTGATGAGACAAAGACAAAGGACAGTGTGTCCAGCTACACTGAAACAAACACAGTATAATCTCAACAACAAACACGGTGGTGGTGGTGTGATGGTCTGGGGCTGCTTTGCTAATTCAGGACCTGAACAATTTGCTGTAACAGATGAAACCAAAAATTGTGCTGTGTAGCAAAAAAGAATGGTCTKTGTACTTTTTTGTCATTTGATTTTCATTTTAAAATCAATCAACTTTGTACTAGCAAGTAGTGTTGATGGAAAAAATTGATTGATAAAAACAGATATTGAAAAACAAAACAATAAAAAATGATGGTTATTCTATTTTCATTTTATACGTCCAAATTGGAAACTCCACATTTTATTTTTGTCAAACTGAAAGATAGCGAGGGACTTGAAGTCACAGCAGGCTCAATAGGATAATGACGAGTAGCCTTGACAACAGTGTTAAAGGGATCCCTGATTAGTTCTTTTTTTTTTTTTTGATCCCTGATTAGTTCTAACATTAGTCTTTATTTGATAAACACATATTTTAACTGTAAATAAAGTCTGTAAAAATACTGTAGGCTATTTAGTTTTGTAAATTTTGAAAAATATATTTCAACACGGATGGAGCCATTTTATTTACACACAAAGCATTCTGGGTAAATGATGACATGGACAGGTCCTTGGTGTGAGCGAGCTATATCCACCCTGAAGGTTAATCTTGGACAATATCTGACGATCGACTCTTTTAAATGAAACCAGAAAGCGTTGACAGAGAGGAGAA